TTCAATTCAAATTTGCTTTGAAAAAGACGCAAAAATAATGAATTTAAATTAATTTTCCCAATTGGCCACGAAAAATTAAAGTGAGATAAGGGACTATTTAGCCAATTTTTTTCAATGGATTTCAAAAAAATGCAGATTAAAGTTTTCCTCTACTTTAAAAATGATAAATTTAAATTTGTTTCCTCAATTGGCTATGAAAAATTCATATTTTTTTCCCGTTTAGTATAACAAAATCGCAAATTTTTGCAATGAAAAGTGTGTTCTCAGTTGGCAATAAAAAATTACTGTTACCAACAAATTGACAATATTTAGACAATTTGTACAAATGAACGCAGAAATGATGAGTTGACAATAAAAATAAATCGTTTTAGTAATAAAAAATAAGGACTATATTTGTAAATTTAAATTTGTTTTCTTCATTGGCTTCGAAAAAACTAATTGTKTCAAAATTTGGATATCCGGTAATTTTGTTTTTAAAATAACATTAAGAAATAACAGGGGATTTATGTGAAAAAAAGTTAACGAGTTTATGAAAAAAATAAAAGTTTTTAAAGATTTTGTTTGTGATTTTTCAAATGCGCATGAAGAGATATAGTATCTTGTTCCGTTTCCGGTGATACTTTTACTTAAATTATGTGTCGGTGAAAATCGAATTAAAAATGTGTGACACTTTATTTGAATTGGAAGAAAATTGTGAATTAAACTTGTGCTAAATTTTTTAATCAAAAACTGTGAGTAASAAAAGTATGACAATATAATTTCCTGTTATTGTAATCTTGCAGATCAAAATGTTTGTGATTTTGTGTATTCTGAGTCTTATTTCAACTTCAGCCCCATTTTGCGTCGAAGAATGGGACGAAATCTACGTAATTCATTGCACAAACACAAGTCTTGAGGATTTTATCTACGATTTTGATCCGTTGAACGAAAAAGACATTCATTATCGAAGACACTATMCRATTGTAATCACRGATTCAGATTTGAAAAAGATCGAGTTTTTCTATCTCCCCTTTTCGAATCCCTCAAATCTGATGCGATTAATTTTGACGAATTCCTCTATTGAGTATATCGACGATTTGGCTTTTGAGGATTATGGTTTCACCGATTTGATTTTGAGTAACAACAAATTGCAAAGTTTGTCGTTTGTGGAACGTTTGCCAACAAGTTTAAAAAAATTGTATTTGGATGGTAATTATTTCGAGTCGGTTCGAAATGTCTTCAGGAATTTAATACATTTGACACATTTAGATTTAAGCAATTGTAAAATAAAAAAAATTGAGCCTGATTGTTTTTCCAGTTTGAAAAGTTTAATTTTTATCAATGTTAGTAACAACAGACTTGCGAGAGGGTTTTTTGTATTTGATTTTTCTCCAATTCCGTATTTCGATTTGAGTTTTAACGAAATCAAATATTTGGATTTTAAAGGTGATAATTTACATTTTGGCGAATTGGATGTTAGTCATAATCCATTAAGAAATATTGAATTTTTGAATAAAATTAAATTTGGTGATTTGAAATTAGCAAGTAGTAATGTGAGTAAAGACTTTAATTTTTCATTATTAAACAATGTACATTTTTCACTGGATTTGCATAATAATAAACTGGTGACTTTGCATTCAAACTTGTTTAAAGGCGAAACTTATATAAACATTAATTTATTTAATTCTTCTATAACCAACATTGAGAGATTTGCTTTTAAGAATTTTGGCTATTTTTCTGATTATTCTCTCAATGATAATCCACCTGTTCTCAACATTAGTTCAAACCCAATAATCGAACTCAAAAATTACACTTTTGAAGGCAGTTTTGTGAGCACTTTAGATTTATCAAAGTGTTCAATTGAGAAAATACAAATTAATGCTTTTTCCGGTTTATATTTGACAGACACTTTGAATCTGAGTGTTAACCAAATATCATATTTAAGTGWAAAAGTTTTTAAAAACTTGACACTTGTTCAAACAATCGATTTATCATTTAATTTTTTAAAAAAACTTAATAACCATTTATTTATCGATTGTCATAGTTTGAAATTTATCAATTTATCCAATTCCAGAATTGAGTTAATACAAGAAAGGGCTTTTTTCGGAAGTGACAATTTACTTGAATTAAATCTCGAAAATAATTTATTAGAGAAAATTAATTTTCGAAATTTTAGCCGACTTGAATTGTTAAAAGTGCACAATAATAAACTTTCAGATTCAGATTTGTCCTTTTTGTGTAATTTGTCAGCAAAAAGTGTGATCATGTCAAGTAATAAAATGCAAAAATTATTAAATAACTCTTGTGCTTTTGTAAAGTCACCCGAAGAAATCGATTTATCTAAATCTTCCATTTGTTGCATTGAACCAAAAACATTTCGAGGCTTGTCTTGGTTACAAATTCTCAGTTTGCGAGAAAATTTCATCGAAATAATTTTACCAGAAACTTTRACTTTTTTGAAAAGACTAAAACAACTCGATCTTTCTAAAAACAGAATTGCAGTGTTTTCGYAAAATTCTTTCGCGTTTGGAAATCGTCTAAATCTCTTGAATATCACATTTGTAAATGCAAACTTGACAAGTCYTACATTTAAATGGCTGAATCATGTGGTAACTTTGAACATTTCCAATTCACAAGTGAGTTTGTCAAAAGATTGTTTCAAGGGTCTCAAATATCTGGAAAATTTTTATTTCCYCGAAAGTCAAGTGACGGGAATAAATCCGGGTGCTTTTCAGGGACTAGACAGTTTGAAACAATTTGAAATACACACAATTTTTAAAAAGAGTAAAATTTTAGCAAGTGGGACTTTCGTAGGTTTGAAATTTCTAGACCATTTGAATTTATCTCTTCTCGAAATAACTGGAATCGAAAATGAAGCTTTTGTCGGCCTTACAACTCTTCTCAAGTTAAGCTTGAGTGGAAATAAATTAACGAAAATTGTAAACGGGACATTTATAGGTTTAGATCATTTAAAAATTTTAGATTTGTCTAAAAATAAAATTTCTAAATTGGAAATACTTGCATTTGATGGCTTATATTCATTACGTGAGTTACACTTGAACAAAAATAATTTAACAACTTTGTCTCTCGGTAGTTTTCAACAATTTCCCACCTTGGAATTGTTAAATTTACGCAGGAATAACATAAATAAAATTTTGACTGGAACTTTTTCCAATTTGAAATTTTTAAAAACACTAGACTTGTCATATAACAACATCACGAAACTTAAAATGGAAACACTTATTACTTTGAGCAATTTGCAAAAAATTGATTTGACTTCAAATCATTTGATTCAAATGGAACATTTAGATTTGATCAAGTCTTTAAGACAATTGGAGTTTATAGGACTTAATGATAACAAATGGAAATGTGATAATTTGGTGTCAATGTTGATAGCATTTCAAAATTATAGTGTCAATTGGTTATCCACTGAAAGTGCCACTTTCACTCATGAAAACATAGATGGAATTAAGTGTTTCGATATTTGTAATTTCTTCTACTGTGTTGACGAAGAAAACCTCGCATGGCGGAATTAATTTGTAATTWTTGTAAAAATAAACACTTGTGTGAAAATGTTGTTTTTACCTTGAGAGACTCAGCCCACGAGGGTTTGGGACACGAAGCCGRCATATCTGGAATAACCGGATGCAACTTCCTTTGAAACAACACAAGAACACAATCCATAATCCTCATAATCAAATGTGGTGGCCTTCCCAATTTCCGAACAGTTGCGATATGAGCCGGTTTGATTGTATTCAGCGCAGCTTCAGCTTCCTCCAAGGCRGGTTTAGCAGCTTCAAGTTTCTCCTCGGCCAAAGCTTTTTCAGCAGCAATCGACGTTACRAAAATTTCAGCCTTTTCTTTCACTTTRTGCACTTGATTTTTGACAATTTCAGCTTGCATTGCCCTTTCGGTGACTTCAGTCAAAACRTTTTCAGCGCGTTTTGACGCATCGGCTAGTTCTTTTTCCATAGAAGCCAACTCTTTTTTCAGTACCAAAACCGAAGACGATGCTTCYGCCAGTTTCTCTAATCCGGTYTCCATTCTTAAAGCACCATCACTCAATTCTTTTTTCTTGTTTTTGTAAATACTCTTGTAGCCGGCTATGAAATTCAGGTACGACTTTGGGGTGACATGAGTCGCGCGTCGGAACCTCTGAAAATACTCCACTGAAGTCGCTGAAACAATGTCTTGAATGGAACCCAAAGCTGTGACCAACTCCTCCTTCACTTGGTCACTGCACGCGATTTTGAAATCGGTGAGGAAATGACGAGCTACTGAAACTAGAGCGTCTTTAGGCCAAGGTTGGAACCAATCAATGGTGCATCCTGAAATCAAAGCAGGGAAACGCAATGCGCGGTTCCGGAACTTCTCCCCCACCTAGATGAAAAATTTRAGTGAAGGAAACTTTTCAGGAATGACGTACCGGAGAGAAGCAAAACACCACATGAAGATTTTGACATGTGCGATTCATGAAATACTCCATCACGCTTTCAGGGTTTATGATTCTTTTGGGGTTCTCTCGTTTCATGACAGGGGTCACCTCTTGGATTATTTCAGCTTGTTCGTCTTTGGTAAATAAGTTGGAAATCACACCTGAGGAGAGAATGTTGTTCAAGTACTCCAAAAACCCCTCTTCTTTGATATCCAAGTCAGTGAAGATGAAAGTGGTGCCTTTTCCTTGACAACCACAGGATCGGTAGAGCACTTTGAGGTCTTCCAAAAAATTTGCAATGTTGTAGGATCTTGTTAAAGTGATTTGGAAGGTTTTATAGCCGGCTATGAACGACGATAGCTTCGTCAAAGACTGTTTTCCACTCCCACCAACACCTTCAAAGTTTCAGTAAAAAAATAAAAAAACTAGAAGAGAAAAAATTACCAACTAGCATAACATTCCCTCTCGGGTGCCTAATAACCCGTGATATTTTCACGAGATGGAGCATAGCATCCGGGAAAAAGACCAAATCCATGCCAGATCCCCGAACCATTTCGTTGAATTGTGCCAAAAACATGTCGAGACGTTCCCGGAGTTCGTTTTCGTCGGTGACAGGTTCGTACACTTTTGGGAGTTCCATGTCAGCGTCTTCTCCCTCTTCGCCGGTTGGTTCGGGAGCGTCCCTCATGAAATCGACGAAGACGGGATTTGGTTCTGTTTTTGRCCGAAATCCGGGACCTAATTCTCCCTCAACCAAGMCCAATAACTCGGCATCGAACCATTTTTTGTCTTCTTCGATGGTGAAACGGTCGGAGAAGACTCGGGTACATTCGTGTTTCCAGAGGACCATCATGCAACCTTCGGATTCGATGACGGTTGATAGTGTCCCGATCTAGAAATTTGTTGGGTTTTTAAGGGCAAAATCAACCCTCTATCTCCCACAGGAACATGGATATCAGGGATTGAAAATAAAATTGAAAATAAATGAAGTAAAATAAAAAATGTACTAAGAAGTGAAAAGTATTTTTTTCTATCAGAGAAGAACATTTTTGCTTGCAGTTTGGGTTTTTAACATTTATAAAAGCTTTGGGGTGGTCAAATAATGAAAGCATCAAGAATAAAATTTTTCGAAATTTTCTTTTATTTTGGAGTTTTACAACTGTATTTTAAGCAATATTTAATGAAAAATAGGCTGAAAACCACAAAATTTGGTCGATGATGCTTTTTTCATCTTTTTCAAACACATTTTTAATCTTAAATCTCATTGTTTTTGCAGGTTTTTTCTACAGCAAACCGAAACATTACCAAATTAACAAAATTAGTGTTTTTGAATCTGAAACTAAATAAGTTGTAGAATCACCAATAAATTAGTTTAAAAAACGTTTTAGAGAATCGCTAAACAAGGTCGAAAACAACATTATTTTATATTTTTGATAAAATTTCAGTCAAAAAAATCCGAAAACGTACCAAATGTGGGCAAAATTTTTTGTTTTTTTTGAATGTTCAAGCACAAGAAATATTTTTTTTCTAAAATTCCTTTAGATATGGCCAACAATTACTAAATTACATTTATTTTGCAAAACACGCTAAAATAAGTTGGAATTGGTGTTATTTTATTTGTTTCACTCGATTTAACTATGTTTTGAGCAATATTTAATCAAAAATAAGTTCAAAAAACACAAAATTTGGTCAAAAATGATTTTTCACCTTTTTCAAACTCTCAAGCACGTTTTTGAAGTAAAATCTAATTTTTTTGTGGGATTGTGTTACAACAAACCTCAAAATTACTAAATTAAACCTAAAAAACTTAGCACGTTTTTCAGACAGAAAATCAATTGTTTTGCTATTTTTTTTCAAAAATAAATTAAAAAATCACCAATAAATTAGTCACAAAATTGTCTGTTTTTTGCTTTTGTAACAAGATTTCATTAAACAAGGTCGAAAAATCCCAAATTGTGTGGAAAACGACATTATTTTAGCATTCCCCAGTGTTTTAACACATTTTTTACCCAGAAGAGGAACTATTATTAACAATTACAAAAATAAATCAAAAATGATGTTATTTTATTTGTTTCGTTCGATTTAACTGTGTTTTGAGCAATAATTAATCAAAAATATGCTGAAAAAATATACAAAATTTGATCGAAATTGGTGTTATTTAAAAAAAAATTTCAATATTTTAAGCACTTTTTTGAACAAAAATCTCAGTTTTTTGTGGGACTTTGTCACAACATCCGAAAAATGTTACATTAAGTCGAACAACATTTTTTTTCAACTCGAAACTCATTTATTTTTCAATTTTTTGCAAAAGTAGGTTGAAAAATCACCAATAAATTAGTTACAAAATTGTTTGTTTTTGCTTTCTTAACAAAATTTCATTAAACAAGGTCGAAAAATAGCCAAATTGGGTCAAAAACAACATTATTTTAGTATTTTCCACATTTTTCATCCAGAAAAGGAACAATTATGCAAAATTTCATTAAAAATATAGTAATTTTTGAGTGTTTAATCACGTTTTTGAAGTAAAAATATTTTTTCCGAAAATCTCATTAAAACCGACTAAAAAATCACTTATTAATTTAATTTGTTTTTGAAGCTGGAATCGATTTATTTTGCAAAGTCTTGAAATACGATTAAAAATCACAAAAATAAATCGAAAATGATGTTTTATTTGTTTCCCTCGATTTAACTGTTTTGAGCAACATTTAATCAAAAATGAGCTGAAAAAATACAAAATTTGATCGAAATTGGTGTTATTTTATTTTATTTTTTCAATCTTCTAAGCACGTTTTTGAACAAAAATCTCAGTTTTTTGTGGGATTTCGTCACAACATACCGAAAAATCTTTCATTAAGTAATTTTTTCAACCAGAAACTTAGTTATTTTGCAATTTTTTGAAAAAAAATCACCAAAAAATTAGTTAAAAAATTGTTTTATTTATCACAAGAATTCATTACACAGAGTCGAAAACAACAATATTTTAGCAATTTCCAGTGTTTTATCACATTTTTCAGCCAGAAATGGCACTATTATGCAAAATTTCGTTAAAAACAAGCGAAAAAGTAATAAAACGTGTCTAAAAACGACCTTTATTGAGTATTTAAACAGATTTTTCGTAAAAAAAACAAGCCAATTTTTTTTTAAATGGCAACTCACTATAAAACTATTTTTCTCATGAAGGTTATGTTCTCAAAATTACAACTATCTATTTAATTTTTTCAAAATTTTTTTTTACATAAATTGCAATTTTGACAAAAAAATCGCATAACTCAAAAACAAAACTTTATTTATTTTTTGTAAATAAATGATTTTAAAAAAACCGCTCAATTTTTGCTCACCATTCCTTGCCAAATCCTCGACAAATCCCTCAACGAGAAGACATAATGGAACTTGGCAGGCGTGGGCAACAACTTAGCCCTCGTATTCTTCCACAAAAGTCTCGTCAAAGGAACCAGTTTCTTGACCAGATTCCTCACTTCCACCGTGAACCCTCTCTTAACATTGTAGTGTCCTTGCGCAATAACCCCAAAAATCTTATCAATGGACGCATCCATGGGCAATGGACAGTTAAACAGACAAAATTGTCGTTTAAGTCGCGACGGAATATCATTCCTGCCCCCTCCAGGTTGCCCCATCGCGGCCACAAACTGCACATCGATGATGGTAGTGAACTCTCCTGGTTTTTCCAGACTGTAAAAACCACCCATATCCATGGTTTGGCGCACAATCTCGTTGGTGATTTGGTCCCCCCAGCAGTTGATCTCCGGGAGGTTGATATCGTCGATGAAGATGAGCATTTTTTTACCATTGGGGGCACCAAAGGTGTTCCCCATTCGTTTTTCCACGTAGCTTTCGATGGTTTTTTGGAATTGGTACGGGGAAGTGGCACTTGAGAAGTTAAATGAACGGTTTAGGTAGATTTCAGGATTGGCATTTTTTATGTATGATTTCATCATGACTGTCTTTGCGGTTCCTTGCTCACCGACTACCAAAACTGCTTTCTCTTGCTTGGCTATAGTGTGGATTAGGTAGTTTATTCGGACATTGTCTGGGATTGGGATTAAAATTGTGGCATATTCGGGAGTGGCCAATTCGGGGTAAACGTAATTGGTCACCATTGTGCTCCACAAGACCCAATCACCATCCAGATTCACAACATAGTCAAAAACTGTAGCGTCTGGATTTTTTCGGTCGTTTTTGGGTAAGTCCAATTGAGGCAAGTTTTGTTTGAGGAACAAATCGTACTTGGCTCTGTCTTGGGTTTCCAGGAACGCCCCCATGCCCCAAACCAGGGCAAAAACGTACAATTTGCCCAAATGTTCAACTGTGAAGGGTTTATTCTCCTCAATTTTCTCCGTTTCCTCAACCAAATCATCATCATCGCCTTGATCCGACTTGGAACCGGAAACATCCTCAATGGTTTCAACCTGGACCGGTATTAACCCCTCCAACAAGTGCAACATTTGCAAAGTAACATTGCATTCAAGCACGTCAATGACCAAAGACAAGTTTTGGGTCCCCCAACTGTACAACTCCCCATACGAGTCATCGAACAACTTCTGGAACAACTCCTGTTCACGTGGACTCCGTTTTTTCAACCATGCGGTTACAACCGGTTTCCAGTTCAAACCGGATGAGCTCATGTAAACCATTCCGTTCCGGGAAACGGTTGCTGGTGACGCATTATCAATGTTGTGGGGTTCAAAAATGATTTTGCACGTGGGGGCCATTGATAACCGATCACCGTTTGCCAAAGTTAGGGTTTTGTTATCATCAAGGACTGAGTTGAGGTTTTCGATCCAGATACTGTCAACTGGACCATCCAGGACCAACCATACGTGTTCTCCTGGTTTCAATTTTAGGGTTTTTCGCCACAAAGCGGAGAAAATCCCATCGGTCCAGTCGTTGGTTGCGACGTCCAAACGCCCGAACATTTGGGCCGCGGTGATGGCTTTGGGGTTCATCCGCATTTCCCGGTGGAAGTCCCCCATTTGGGTCAGGGAGCGCATTAGGGTCTGGATGCAGGTGGTTTTCCCGGCGCCTGTGGGCCCCAAAGTCATGATACCGTGTCTCACGCGTTGGGTTTCGAACAACTGGATCAGTTTTAGCCCCCATGGGGGGTGGTTGACGAGGCCTGCGGCCTCCACTTGGCCGTCGATGGCCTCTTCCAGGTCGGGATAAGCGGTTTTTTCGAGGGCTTGGTTCGGGAAAAGGTCGGCTACTAGTGAAATAAACAAAGGTTCATCTTCGTCGATGAGTTTGGAAAGGTTCATGTCGCGTAATACTCGCATTACTATCGTGCTTTCGGTGTCTTTGTTATTGACCCTTTTTGCTGCACCTAAACTACGCAAGACTGATAAAATATTGCGAAGGCCAAAATCGTAATGAACCTAGAAGAACCAAGAGTGGGTTTTGGGTCATTAACTAGTTTTTCTACCTGTTTTGTGAGTTGTTCCTCACATAATTTGTACAAAGTGTAGAATTTCCGTGCCAGAGTGATATTTTCAAGGAACCCACAACTCGCTAATTTAACCCGAATTATAATCTGACGATCGGGTACCATCATTGCAACTGTTCGAAACTGAATTTTGAGGTTCTCGGGGAGTTCTTTTCGACCAGCATAACCCGGGTTCTACAACAGGGGCGGATCCAGGAATTAGTTTGGGGGGGGGGGGGCTATCTAAAAATTTTTTAAATGATGAGGGTATACAGTGAGCGGCAAAATTATAGAATAATCTTATTTATTAAAACTGAAAATATTTTGTTTTGGAAAAATGCTCGAACAGGTCAATTTTCTTTTTAAAAAATACGAAATTTTTAACTTGATTTAAAATTGTATCTTTGTTTTTTATTGATATTTTTTTGGATTTTTTTTTAAACTTTATGTAATACATAATATTTTGGTGTTGCCAATTCGACAATTATCTATCGAATTCGCTAAAAAAATTGGAGTTTCCATTAACAAAAAAAATGTCGCTGCCGTCATTACCCAAAAACCAAAAATGTAGAATTTTAAAACAAGTTGAAAAATTCACTAGCGAGTTGCTAAAGTTCATTATTCAAAGAGATATAAACTTAATTTAATTAGATACCTAAGATGTGGCCCAAAGAAAATTACAATTGATGATTTCTTTTTAAATTAGTAAAAATTAAGGAAGTATTGAGAGATCAAGATAATTTGTCCTTGTATCCGAAAACGTATGTCCTATGCGTATGTCTGTGAAACGTCAAATAAAATGACAAGTGGAAAGGTAAAATCCCATGATCAAAAAGATAACTAAATTTATGATTTACCTTCAAAAAAAAACGGTCTTATTATTATACGTCGGCGACTAATTCCAGCCCATTTTGCCGTTTTCGACTTGTCATTTTATTTGACGTTTCACGTGCAGTTAGTTCAAAAACAGACATACGTACAGTTACGGAATTAAAAATTCAGACAGTACTTATTTTTCTGTCACTTTAAAAAGTTCACTGTAAACTACCTTTTACTGTCATCATGACTGACATTTGACAATTAAACTTATTTTTATTTGTTGTTAAATTTTTTAATTAAACAATTTCTATGTCTTAGGAAATTTATTAATTGAACTAAGTGTAATTAAATCATCGCTTTGATCTGCTGACTACACTATTTTTGGAAGTAAATAAGTCAAAATGACATAAATATGACAAGAGTAAAAAATGAGGTTATTAATATAAAGGTTGTTTTAGAGTTTACATTATGAAAATGACAGTACTGAGTGAAATTTTAATTCCACAACTGTACGTTTTCGGATCTAAAAATGACTCATTACAAATTATTTTGATTTCTCGGTATATGTATGATTTGTATTAATAAGTGTGATTTAAAAAAATTCTAATGTCTTTATTTAAAAAAAAACTTTAGGTCATAAGGTTTTTATATTAAAATTTAAATATAAAAAACTGAAGCTTTTGGTGGCAAGCTTGGGGGGGGGGCCCTGGCCCCCTGGGTCCCTCCCCTAGATCCACCCTTGTTCTACAAGACTATTAAATGAGAACCAAAACGACCCAAAATCTTACCATTGTGATGAAAATTCCAAATTCTGGGCACATTTCGACGATATCACCATCGGTAAATTGGAAACTTTTGCGTTTCTCCTTTTTACTGGCTAAAACAACAGCGACTTGTTGTGCCGCCACTGATAATACTGGTAGTTCAATTCGGTTAAATTCGTCGAAACAGCCCCATGATCCTGATTGGGCTAAGCCTTTGTAGATTCGACCGAGACCTCGATAGTCCATTTGGTCGGAACAATTGAATACTACGACGTATTTTGCGAGAGTTTTGCCCATGTCTTTGACAGTTTCGGTTTTGCCTGTTCCAGCAGGGCCACAAGGGGCGCCACCCATGCTCATTGCCAAGGCTTGGGCGAGGGTAATATAACATCTGCAATTGGTGGTTACAAGGGAGGTAAGTGAGTTTTTCCTCACAGAGGTGGAAGTTACTGCCCAGGAAAACAATAATTTTTGCAAAAATTACAAATTACTTCCGATATGCGTGGTTTTCTTCGTCAACACAGTAAATGAAATTACAAATATCGAAACACTTAATTCCATCTATGTTTTCATGAGTGAAAGTGGCACTTTCAGTGGATAACCAAATTTTGAAATGCTATCAACATTGACACCAAATTATCACATTTACATTTGTTATCATTAAGTCCTATAAACTCCAATTGTCTTAAAGACTTGATCAAATCTAAATGTTCCATTTGAATCAAATGATTTGAAGTCAAATCAATTTTTTGCAAATTGCTCAAAGTAATAAGTGTTTCCATTTTAAGTTTCGTGATGTTGTTATATGACAAGTCTAGTGTTTTTAAAAATTTCAAATTGGAAAAAGTTCCAGTCAAAATTTTATTTATGTTATTCCTGCGTAAATTTGACAATTCCAAGGTGGGAAATTGTTGAAAACTACCGAGAGACAAAGTTGTTAAATTATTTTTGTTCAAGTGTAACTCACGTAATGAATATAAGCCATCAAATGCAAGTATTTCCAATTTAGAAATTTTATTTTTAGACAAATCTAAAATTTTTAAATGATCTAAACCTATAAATGTCCTGTTTACAATTTTCGTTAATTTATTTCCACTCAAGCTTAACTTGAGAAGAGTTGTAAGGCCGACAAAAGCTTCATTTTCGATTCCAGTTATTTCGAGAAGAGATAAATTCAAATGGTCTAGAAATTTCAAACCTACGAAAGTCCCACTTGCTAAAATTTTACTCTTTTTAAAAATTGTGTGTATTTCAAATTGTTTCAAACTGTCTAGTCCCTGAAAAGCACCCGGATTTATTCCCGTCACTTGACTTTCGRGGAAATAAAAATTTTCCAGATATTTGAGACCCTTGAAACAATCTTTTGACAAACTCACTTGTGAATTGGAAATGTTCAAAGTTACCACATGATTCAGCCATTTAAATGTARGACTTGTCAAGTTTGCATTTACAAATGTGATATTCAAGAGATTTAGACGATTTCCAAACGCGAAAGAATTTTCCGAAAACACTGCAATTCTGTTTTTAGAAAGATCGAGTTGTTTTAGTCTTTTCAAAAAAGTGAAAGTTTCTGGTAAAATTATTTCGATGAAATTTTCTCGCAAACTGAGAATTTGTAACCAAGACAAGCCTCGAAATGTTTTTGGTTCAATGCAACAAATGGAAGATTTAGATAAATCGATTTCTTCGGGTGACTTTACAAAAGCACAAGAGTTATTTAATAATTTTTGCATTTTATTACTTGACATGATCACACTTTTTGCTGACAAATTACACAAAAAGGACAAATCTGAATCTGAAAGTTTATTATTGTGCACTTTTAACAATTCAAGTCGGCTAAAATTTCGAAAATTAATTTTCTCTAATAAATTATTTTCGAGATTTAATTCAAGTAAATTGTCACTTCCGAAAAAAGCCCTTTCTTGTATTAACTCAATTCTGGAATTGGATAAATTGATAAATTTCAAACTATGACAATCGATAAATAAATGGTTATTAAGTTTTTTTAAAAAATTAAATGATAAATCGATTGTTTGAACAAGTGTCAAGTTTTTAAAAACTTTTWCACTTAAATATGATATTTGGTTAACACTCAGATTCAAAGTGTCTGTCAAATATAAACCGGAAAAAGCATTAATTTGTATTTTCTCAATTGAACACTTTGATAAATCTAAAGTGCTCACAAAACTGCCTTCAAAAGTGTAATTTTTGAGTTCGATTATTGGGTTTGAACTAATGTTGAGAACAGGTGGATTATCATTGAGAGAATAATCAGAAAAATAGCCAAAATTCTTAAAAGCAAATATCTCAATGTTGGTTATAGAAGAATTAAATAAATTAATGTTTATATAAGTTTCGCCTTTAAACAAGTTTCAATGCAAAGTCACCAGTTTATTGTTATGTAAATCCAGTGAAAAATGTACATTGTTTAAAAAGGAAAAATTAAAGTCTTCACTCACATTAATACTTCCTAATTTTATTCAAAAAATCGAAACTTAAGGCAGTAACTACCAAGGGAGGAAAAATCACTTTTTCTAGTGTAATACGTTTAAATTTTTCTACGATCCAGCAAGAAAAACTTCACTCCCTTGTTTTTGGCTAATAAATAATCTGATATTTTATTCTTTATTATTGTCCACTTCCTGAAATTAGGGTGCAAAAACTTACTTTCTGTTAGGGTCGTAGAAAAAATACTAAAACGTGTTATTTTTTGTAAAACCTGTCAGTGAGTGGTGTTATGACCAGCCGATCAGTGCACCCCAAATACTCATTCTGGTACGAGAAAGTAACATCAGTGATGATAATCAAAGTCTTATCCAACTCTTCTTTGAAGTAAAATCGGCATTGTTTCAACCACTCGAAATCGTTGACATGTCTCACATTCATGCGACACTAAAATTGGGGGGTGAAAAACCACAAAGGGCGAATTTCCTTTCCTCCAACTTACTAAAATATCGAAAATGTCTCTTTGGTGCACATGAATCGTGATCAAAGTCTCAAATTTGGTTCGTTCAATTTTGGTGAGATCTCTTGTCGTTTGGTCAATGAGTGTGTTGAGGAGTTCTAAAAACTTGTTGTTTGTGTCCGCCATAACTTTTTTATCGTGGCGGGCTTGCATGAGGGCCACTTCGGCGTCCCTGGTCCAAATCATTTGCAACCCCAGGAGACCAATCTTGAAAAAAAAACTAAAAATTTGAGAAACCAAAAGAAACTAAAGATAATGACGACCTCGTTTGTTTTTACCCCTTAGAGAAAACAGAATAATTTTTTATTGTTTTTAAATTTTTGTTGTTTTGTTATTTGAAATTTTATGGTTATTTTACTTGTAGGTAAAAGATTTTAAAGTGAAACATTGAAAAAATTGAAAGTCAATGGTTAGTTGCAAAATCAAACTCAAAAACTGAAAAAAATAGAATAAATCCAAGATCAAAGTAGCACAAAAAAAACAATTTAAACTAAAAAAATAATGTCAAACTAACAAAAAAAAAATCGAATCAAAAATTAAAATCGTAAAAATTCATAGAAAAGTATAAAACTTTCAAAAAAAAGAAAGTAAATTAGTGAAATTAAAAAACCGACACAAAAGTGCAAGATATAGGTAAAAGAAAAATTCATCAAGCTAAAAACTGTTGAAAAACAGAAAATCGAAATTAAATTTTTTAAGTTGAGCTTAAGTTTTTGTGTTTTTCAAATCTAAAACATTTGTTTTTGAGTTTGTTAAATTTGAGTTTTTTTTTTCAAATTTTTGATGTTGTTTTAGTTTTTTTGCTTAACTTTTGTGGAAAATTTGTATTTATGTTTATTTGAGCTTTAATATTTGGACAAAAAACTACCAAAAAATTAGAAAACCAACACAAAGGAACAAGACATAAATTCATCAAGCGAAAAATCGTTGAAAAATAGAAAATCGAAAAATGTAAATTAAAATCTAAACAACCTGAATAAAACCAAACTTGATTGCTGAAAGTTCTAAAAACTAAAAATATAGAGCAAAGTTTGTGAAAAAATTGAATTGAAAAATTTACGTAAAATGGCACTCGAAATGAATATACAGGTGTTTCAAAACTTGCGCCACAGAGAAAAATTTCACATAAATTTTGATATTTATTTTTTGACATTTGATATTTTTTTATGTCTATTTATTGTTATTGATGATCTTATACGTTTTTTTATTGTCATTTAGTAAAGATACAAAAATTTTATTACCTCTTCTAATAGCCTCCTACAGCAAAAATAAATAAAAATAAAAATAAATAAAATTTAAACTCCCATAATTTCGAAAATATCATAAAATTGGAGAAAAACTTTGTAAGCGAAATAAACAGAATAATTGAAAAAACGAATAATTCCAGGACTTTTTTGAATTGAAGAAGTAAAAAAAACATAAAATAAAAAACTGAACGCAACAAAAGTCGAGAAGAAGAATGCAAAGAAGAACCTTCAAAAAACGAAAGTGAAAAATAGAATAAAAAAGCTGAAATTTTGAATACAAAGTATGAAAAGTAAAAATAATTAAATTAACTCAAAAAATTGGAAAAACAGCAAAAATTCAAAAATAAAACGTCCTAAATTGGGAAATTACAAAAAACTGAAAAAACAAACAA